CACGAAGCTGAAAGAAGCCATAATCTGGTGTACATCTGAAGGAGGACCTGATATCACAGAGGGCGATTCACATCACTCCTTCCTCTAACCAAGCTTGAAGAATTAAATCGAGAGAGTTGCTCCACCGATTGGTGGATTTGACATGATTTGACTCCTTTCACCGGCGACTGCGCACCAAGGCTCCGAACCCTGACAGTGCACAGACAATCAGGGGTTTGGCACAGCTCCCAGATGTTTCAGAAATCACCTAGCAGATGCTAGCAGGCATCGGAGCTGTTTGACTCAAGGATTTGCCCACCTATGATGGTGCAGGGCTTCGGATTGGAATAGTAAGCGCACGATGGAACTCCATAGTATGTGACGGCGCCTCAGAGCTTTTGCTTGCGTTTGCTTGTGGATACTTCCTGCCACATCCATACTCGGCTGCGTAGGACAGCTTGGTTGCTGGGGCTGTTGAAGCACTGACGTCCTGCAACGCACGAACCCAAGACGTGCTGGATCCTGCTTGACGGCCGCATACATTGCTTGTGTTGCAAATGGTTACTAGCCCCAAGACTATAGTCAGAATTCATTCCACCATTGCAGGGTCCATGTGTGTGGCATCGAGAGTCATGCTTCCACTAAGGTCACTGACATTACCATCGAACATGTCGCCAGGCTCCCAGTACCGCGCCAGCGGCACACAAGGAACGTAGGCGTAGAAACAATTGTCGCTCACTTAGACTTTTACACCGCAGCAAAGGGGGCACATGCCTGCGTCAGCAAAGGCCGGATCTTATGAAATTCCCCAGGCTGCCCAGGCAGCCAAGTCAAGTGCATCGGGCGCTGTGGAGGGCCTCATGGATTGATTCATGTCGTAGAGCCAGGGCTGATTCCGCAGGTTCTTTTGGATTCTGGTCGGTTTGATGGCGTCATCTGCCGCTTGGACGAACTTCCTCCGACTGACCAGCAGAAACGCAGATGCTTCTCCTTCCTGGCCGTACTGAGTTTGTGGCTAGGTATTGGCTGCCTCATAAAGGGCGGCACCATGCATTTCGAGTACATCAGTGAGGTACACACCTGTGTTTACCAAGTTTGTGGTTCAGCAGCCTGTGCGAAGGCCGTTACTCAAGGCATCATGAGACTGAACTTGGACTACAAAGTCCCAGTTCCACCCCTCAGAACAGCGCAGCCCGTCTTTCTCAGATAGTCGGCGCTCGCGACGGAGATTGAAATGTTTGAACTGTCCTAGGTCATTTATGGCATTCTGGGTTGCCTGAACGAAGAGCAGGCAAGATCGTTTGAACGGCTCAGTACGGCAACAGACACATTGCACATTGAAGCACATTGCCGAGGCCAAAGAGAGAGCCGGAGTTAATGGAGCCGGGCACAACAGCGGGAAGGACACTGCCAGACTGAGCAAAAGTCAAGCGCAGCAATCGTTTGGCGTGCACAGCAGGATTGGGGCATCACCGCTGTAGAGTCGTGCCTCCTGACCAAGAAATATAGAAAGGTGCTGGGCAGCTGAATTTTCACTTTTCCGCTTATCAGATCTCGGTCTGCCAACATGGCAGCTTGAACGAAGGCTGTGAGCTGTTGCACATAGATCGCTTGTTTGTGCCTGAGCTCCGTGTCGAGGGCTGCCTGGAAATATAGAGCATTGCCGTGTTGTGCCTAGCAAGCTGCAGCGCGCTAGCAATATGCTCACCTCGTGCTTCCAAGCCCCGGACACATCGACCTGCTTCATGTACTTCAGGTACGCAGCTTGAACTTGAATTCTTCTACTTGTGCATGCACAGCACGAAGAGGGTATGCAGCCAAAGCAAATCACTTGACATCTGTTCCCAACATCCAGGGTGACTCATTAGAAAACAACCAACTGCTAGATGCGCCGACGACTTTATTCAGAGAATCTACCTTTGCTGGATGTGCCATGGTCTCGGATACTCTGGGATTGCCAGAGGTCTTCGAGTACCCCAAAAGCATGCGTTCAGTTGCAGCTGGTTCGGTGGGTCCCGGCTTCCTTGACGCCCCCCGTGCCAACTGGGCCAACGGCCATGCGCGGAGGTTAGGTAGCAAGATTGCTGCTACCGCGGCAACCTCAAAAGAGTTACTGGTCAGCGCAATGACGAAGATCGGTGAGGGCAGTAGCCGCCTTTGGCGGACAGGCTTGCCACCACTCCCGCCAGGACTTCATGAACGACCAGAGGGCGTGGTGCGGGTTGCCGAAAGCATCCAAAGCATTCTGCACCATCTGCACCTGCTGTCGGTTCTCTACTGCTAAGTACTGTCTTGGAATCTACGTACCTTGTGTAATTTTGCATGCAGTGTTTATACCCTGAGAGGTTGAGGTTTCGTTGCCTTCTTCCCAAACCGAGCAGCTTGAGCGCCTGCGAGATCTGGGCAGAACAATGCAGGGTGGGAGTATTTTAGTACTTGGCCGCAGGCGCTTGTATCCGGTGCGACCGCAGCATCAGGCCATTGGCCAAGTCAGCGCAGCTTCATGTGAGGCTGCTTTGGATGCGCTCGCAAGTTCCATCTGTCAAGAGCTTCTGGACGAAGGGTACGGTCTCGATGACAAAGGAGTCGCAGTGCCGTTGCTTCAACGGCGCGGTACACTGGGGGTGTCTGGTGATTTCGACAACTTCGACGGGACACCCGATCCGGACTATCTCAAGAGGCACAAGATGAATGAGGAGGCCCTCCGCAAGCTCGCAACAGAGTGTGCGGTCAACATTGCGGTAAGCCCTGGCATGCAGCTGGTCGCCGAGTGCGGACTCGATCCCGTTCTGTATCAACCCACCTTCGTGGTGTGCATTGGCGGAGGACAGTTGCGAGTTCTGACCTTTGCCTTCGTCGGGGGGCCAGTATCTGGCGACCGCCCTGACCGGAAGCGAACGCCATTTGCTATCAGACTTGCGACTGATGACCTGGTGGCGCTTAGTCGCACGCAGGCTTCCAAAAAAGTTTCGAAGCTCCGCTATGCGGCCCACGCCGTCGACCCAGCAGTCCAGACAAGTCTGGACATGATTGTTATCCTCGAGGAGGAGCTGTTCCAAGCAAACGAGGCTCAATTTTTTGGTGTTGCTTTCGAAGTCCATGCATCCTTGCACTGCCTGCATGGGTGTCATGGGTGTCTTTCAACGTGTGAGCACAGAGGCCGTACAACAGCACTAGTTCTTACAAGGCTTGTTTCGCGTGCATGCTTTCATTGTACTTCTCTTATCCTCGGGTGCAGGTGGGTGATTGGGAGAAGCTGGCTGCAGTGGGTACGACGGAGCCTTCTGCCGATGAAGTGGCCCCGGGACAGCCAATCTATACGGTAACTTGAGGTTTCCCGAGAGCCGTGAACCTGCACATACCTGAATATGTCCCACTGCTACCTTGGAGGAGGCAAGAGGCACGAAATGGCACACGAATGTTTTTAATCCGAGGCTGACAAGCGTATTCGGATGGAAAGCGAGAGCTGGGTGGTACACACTGACCTTGGTGAAGGTCCGCTGACCGCTTTTTTTAAATTTTGACGGAAGAAATGACAGCTGCCTCCATCTCAAGCCTCAGGCTACACGGGTCCTTTGGCTCACGCGCCAGCCGGAGCCTTACTTATTGAGTTGGCAACATCAAGACACTCCACTTCAGCAAGACAGCTAGATTCGGTCACCAGCTTTATCTGACGATAGTATCTACAAACTTGATGTGGATGTCGATGGTAAGTTGAAGTCGTTGCAGGCTCACAGTGCGCAGTACCCTGGGTTGCCATCACCGCTTGGGCCTCAATATCTCGAAAAAAAATCGTAAACCAGATGCGCTGAACATAAAAGTCGAAGTCACTGGGATATAAGGCCGAGTTCACGTCGATTTAGCTGGCTGCTGCGCAGACTGGCACCCAGCGTGTGCGTTGCACAACTCTGCAGCCAATTTAGGCGCCCAACCTTTTTAAATATGGATGTTGTCTGAGCATTCTCTGAGGACTCGCAGTAAAGGAAGAGCCTGTAGCCGCCTCAGGAGTAGTAAAGGTTCCGGCAAGCTGCATACTATATGCGTGCACATTTGTGTTTCTCAGACATCAAGACCCATTTTACTGCGGAGATTTGAGTTGTGGCCGCTTCGGAGCCTAGGCAGACAGTGCCGGTGGTGCATTTGGGAGTGTGCCCGGCACCAATGGATTGTGAGGCGCGCGAAATGCGGTGCAGTTACCCGGAACCAAGGGCATATGTGCAGGTGGCCAAGCTGCACCCTTTGTCTGCCAGGCATGTTACTAGGACAACTGCACTGCGAATTTCGCTTTCCCGCGCCTTTCCGCTTGGTTTGAGCCCTTATCTGAAGGATGTTTTGAAAAGTAGCACCAGGCACCAGGTATGTTTCAATATTCCGACATTGAGTGTGGCTCATGCTAGCCGCTAGCCACCAGAAGGTGAGCATTGGGCTCAAGTTCCCAGCGGAATTGTCGATATGATCCTTTCAACGCAAGGCGACTTGCACAACTGCCGCCTCTTTGCTAGACTTTGGTCTGGATAGCTCGTCGAAGACTTGCAAAGATGAGAGCTGCCTGAGAACAGGAAGCGTGGCGGCCTGTATTGCCACTGGCAGATTGCCACTGACACGCAAAAGTGATACAGTATCCAGTGGCTACTAGTTTGTTAGCATCGGCCTGCGAGCTGCCATGGCGGCTGCCATCTCTATCACGGGCTTCGGAATCTTAAGCTTATAAGACGACTTCAGCCTCAATCCGTTTATATGCGTTGTCCGGTCCATGCAGTGCAACAGCCGCGGAGTTCACAATGGGCATGGCAGCATGGCCACATGGCGAGCTGCGCATCTTGACGTCGTGTACAGCTTCAGCGTCAGAGCCGATCGACGGTTCTGGCGTGCAGCCTAAGGCTGCATGTCGGACAGAGCGCTCAACAAAAGAATCGCTGGGTTGAACGGCTTGCCCAGTCCAACAACGGCTTGCCCAGTCCAACCAGGTGCGTGGCATAAGACGGTTACCAGTATCACATTGTCCCGTTTTTGCCGCCAGCTTGGTCATCCAGACGTTGCGAAGAGTTTCCCCACTGCCCGTTGCTAGAGTGTGTGCCAGCTAAACATTTGACAACATGAGTATAGCATAAGTGGTTAAATCTGTTCAACGACCCCAGCCCCGTCACAGAGTCACAGCAAGCATTTCGCAGCCCCGTTACAGCAGAAACCCTGAGCCTACTTTGTCTCAATTCTTATCCCCATTTCACGAAACAGCTGCACGGCCCCACCCATGAAGAGGCCAGGAGCTTTGCTACTTGCTGGCTCGGTGCTGTGCATAGCAAAGCTGACTTGGTGGCCTGCTCGGGACAGAGACTCTCAGGCTTTACGAGCATGGCAGCTGGGTCGGAGCGAGTACTCTGCCTTCCTGGGACCTTCCCAGCCAGTGATGCAGGCACTCTGGTGTTCAGAAGGACGCGGGCGGCTGCATGCTCCCGCGGTGCGCATGCGAGCAGGGAAAGGCGGGAAGAAGGAATGGTTTGGAATCAACGACGTCCGCGTGGTACAGCGCAACCCCGAGGATGTGGCTGCATTTCACGACAAGGAGCGCACTCGCTGGCGCAAGGTGTACAACGAAGAGTACGTGGAAACCCCGCAGGATTTCTATCCTGGTGATCGAATTGAGGTCATTGATGACGAGTCTGACTATGAAGGACAGCAGGGTGTTGTCGTGAATTTCGACTTTGATGATGGCTACATGTCTTGCCAGACTACGAATTCTCGATATCCTCTGACGGTGGTGCTTGATGAGCTGCCGTAGAAGCAAGCTGAAGACCAGCAAAGAAAAGTCAGCAACTGAACAATGGATGTGTCCCAGCTAGGATTGCTTGCACTTTCGTTCATTGAGCACAGGAAGAGCAACGCTTGCAGGCTAGTAAAGTTCTCCAGGTTTGTCTTGCCAGCTTGTGCGAGTCTCTAGATTTCAGGGATGATCTAGGTGACAATAGGCGACGGCGACGTCTCATCCTGCAAACCGGAGCTGTGAACCTCGAGCCTTTGCCAAAGGCAAGCCCCACTCGGTGCAGTGGATACATGCCAATCTCTGAAGCAGATGCACTGGCTGCTCACGCAGCGATACACGGTGACAAGACATCCGTGACACTGCCCAGTGGTAAGACTTTGAAGGTGGTGACAGCCAAGAATGGCTGCAAGTCCATCAAATTCCCTGATTTTCAGGCCATGGAGCAGAACAAAGCAAAAAGCTCAGAGTGGGCCAAGAAGGCCAAGGCAGGAGTGAAGATCACTTGGTTTCTGTCTGGAAATTCACCTTCAACATGGGGCCGTGTAGTAGATGGAAAGCTGGATAGTCGAGGCAAGGCTATTGCAGATGCTGCGGATACTGCGAAGACCGCCGTGCCGAAGAAGGGGAGGCCTGCAAAGGAAGTTGAGAAAGAAGCCGCTCCGAAGGCTGCAGCCAAAGCTGATCCCAAGCGGAGTGCCAAGGCTTCGCCCAAGGCGAAGTCGCGGAGCGCCGGGAGCGCCGGGAGCACTGGGACCTCGGCCGCCACCGCCTCTGGCTCCCCGGCAAAGAAGCGGTCGGCCCCGCCTTCCCCTCCCGCCCCTCCCCCAGCTGCAAAGAAGGCAAAGTTGAAAGAGGAGGTTGGGGAATCACTGGAATCACTTGACCTCTCTGAAGACCCTTTGCAGCTTGCGCCCTTGTTTTCTGGGATGGGCCATGGTGCTACTTGGATGAAGATCCTCAAACCTGTGCTGGAAAGTCTGAGCGATGCTCCCAGCTTTATTGGGCCCAGTCGGGACAAGAGCATCATCCCAGTCCGAGAGCTGACCTTCCAAGCATTGAAGCCGAATCTGCCGTCTGGATGGCGAGTGGTGTCTTTGGGTCAGTCGCCTTACCCTAGAATTGAATCTGCCACTGGCATCGCACACTTCGATAACGCAATTAAATCTTGGGATTCTGGAAAATTTGGCTCTGTGGTTACCATGCGAGCCTTTGATGCCATTGTCATTTTTCTAGCTGGGCCATGTAGGATCTGCACGCTTTGTTTGCAGAATTGAGTTGTGGCTCCTTTTTTTGAAGCGTAATTTGGTCAGGCTGTATCATCAAAGCAGCGGCTATGTCCAAGTTCAAGATTTCCAAAGACACCAAAGTTCCAGACTTGCGGAAGCTTCTGAAGACGAAGGGACGCTATTTCGGATGATGCATTTGCAGATTAAGCAACTGTTGAAAGGGTTGGCTCTCGCACTAGTTCGATGTGTAGTTCGGAAGTGAGCTGCGATGCGAGTCCTAAGCTAATGGGAGGAAGCCCGAAACCATGAAAGACCAGGAGATCCACCCTCAAGAGGGAGTTGGTTTTTGTAGCTTGGTGTTGTAAGCATGACAATGCTAAAACACAGCGGCACATCTTAATACCCTGGCACAGTCGTCGTTTTTTCCACTTTGACTCAGGAACCGTTGGTCCACCCGAGTGGTTTCAAGCACTTCAGCAGAACTATAGCAGGCTTGATCTTTACATTGCGGTGGTGATTGTGCGGCGTTTTGGCTTGCACTTCGGAAATCCGAGGCAATGCTTGCCCAAGGCGTTCTTCTTATGAATGCTGCTTGCACGATCAAGCCCGTAGAAGGAGGCTCTCGTGCCGGCGAAGTGGTAGAGGCGCTCCTCAACCTTCACTAATCGGAATTGTTAGCGCATGCGCGCGCCACCTCAACAGCCGGGCTGGCCAAACGCGGGGTCTAATCTCTGTAGGAGAAGCCCACAGCCTGGAACCCCCACGGCATCAGATTTTGGCTCCTCCAGGCGGTTTGGGCAGGTCTCACAGGGGGGGGGGGGAGGGTACAGACAGTTTCTGGGTGGGGGGAAGGGTTGGGAATGGGAAGGAGACCAGATCCTGGTCTGCTTGTTCTAGACGCTTCTCGGCTGGAAGCCGAGGCGACTTGCAATGGGCCATACATGTGCCACACGCTCACCAAACATGATATGTCAAAGCTGCCAAAACTTTCAGATGCTGAACAAATCTGGCTGTTGCCAACCTACTTCGCCCAGTGTCAGCTTCGCATGCTCGAAGGAGCATTTGCTCTTCTGGCAGCCGGTCATGGAAGCTGTGGTCAATGCCATTCTGGAAGATTGCCAGCGGAGCGGTCGTCCCGTCATCTTTGCGGCCCCGCAAGAAGAAGCATCACGCAAAAGTATGAACTGCACATGCTTCTAACCTAAAGAAGCTTGCAGATCCTTCCAGACACTCCTTTGTTCTGGTACTTAGGCTTGGTGGGGCACAGAGAGCTTGAAGACCAAGAAATTCTTGGACAAGCGCTCATTCGCGAAGTACCCGGATGCCACTCGCCAAGACCAGACCCACATATTCTTGGAGTGCAAAAGTGCGGGGCATCTTCAGGGATGAAGTTCTGCCGCGGGCCAAACCCGCAGTCTCCAGCCGCCCCAAAAGTCGCGCCAGCTAGGCGCGTGAAAAAGGTTGCTTGGTATGCTTGGAAATTCGCAGCAGGACAGTGCCTCCTTCGCGTAGCTCCAAAGGCAAGCAAGCCTCAGTCTCAGCACCCTGAAAATGTGGAGCCATGTCAGTATCATAACAGGGACCTAGCTTGGAGAACTGACCATGTGGCGACAAGTGTCGTGTGCACGTATGGCACAAAGCATGTAACATCGTGCAGTCAGTTGACTGTGCACAGGGGCGGGACAGGGGTGAGGAGATACCCCTTGCAGGAAGCGTACCTAGCTAGTCGAAGAAGTTCCCCACATCTTCAGTGCAATTGCCCAGGTTCAGGTGAGGCACATTGAACACAAGAATCCAGCTGCAATGGGAGACCGCTTTTGTGATGCACCAAATGTGTTCGACAGCATCAACAAGGCGTTTTCAAGCTTTTGGAATGGAGATAAGACAGCTACGAAGTTTTCCAACTAACACATGTACAAGCCACATGCGGCAGGCCATCCGCGAACTGAAGCTTGGGAACCCCATCGACTGGCTTCCTGACGAAACATGGAAGGCTTCCACAAATGTGGCGAGTGGAGTCCAGCAATGTCCGATAGAGTCCAGCAGGCCGCCCTCGGGATCGATGAGCATGCTGAAGAAATGGGGGCGTTCGTGGCCGAAACTCAAGAGCTGCACAGGAGTCCGGACTAACAGCTAGCAACACTTCACAGATGTTCCAGGGCAGGTGCAGCTGTCTTGCGTTGGCCATGTAATGCAGCTACCATTTCAATCTGCATGGTAAGAGGATGTACCTGGAACGCCTAAAAGACGGCAGCTGCCTCGGTCTCCATTGTGTACTCTGTGCTGGAGTCGTGGTGGACTCACGAGAAGGCACAAGGCACACCTCAGTTTGCCAGGCCTTGACAGCCGCGCAGATGACCTAGCGGCTTGGATGCCAGAAAGAGCCGTTTCTGACCAGGATCTCCCAAGAAGGTACATTTCCATTCTCAATCCGATTCCCAAGCCCGATCTTGAATGAATTGTGCAAGCATTGTCGTAGCGAACAGCTCAGCACTGCACAGATGGGTTGCATGTCGGACCGAGCCCGTTGAAGACTGGAAAGGAAGACATTCTTGGAGTCACGTCGCAGCCACTGGTCGACCTCCCCTCTACATGCGAGCCCTTCAGCAAAGTTGCTGCGGGGAAAGTGCCTTTGCTTCACATTGCAGAGGACTTGGCGCAACAAACGAGTTAAAACATATAGATGTTGTGCTGAAATATGTTGATAATGGTCTGCCCCTTGCTACGTAAGTTGCACAAGTTTCCTGCTTCCAGGCATCGGTGGATCGAGCAGGAAAAATGGTCAGATCCTGGGCCGACTTTGGGCTTGGTGCTGTTTGTTGAGAAGCTGCTTAATGTTGTTTAGTCCATGTCCTTGCCAAGTACTTTCTTTCCTGACATCCGTGGCTGAGCTGAGGAGCAGGCCTGAGCATCGACGAAGCGGCAGCGCTGCATCTCTATACTACCAATCACCTTTACAAGGCCTTCAATTTATCAAACTCTGATCTGCATTGCATCGATATGTTTTGCTCTTGCTTCATGCACGATATTGGTGCAGCATTGAATTGGTCAAGATTGTGCTCCCATCCGCTCTTTTTGCTTGCGGTAGCCGTTCCTGCAGGCGCTAAATGCCGCTTTGAGCTCTGACAGCATTAGTGTTGTAGTGTTGTGGCTTGCACGGCTCCCGACATCGACATGTGGTATAAGCAGCTCTGCAAACCAATTGACAAGACCAAGGCGTGATCCTGAGCGCAAGAAGACCAAGCAGTATTTTCTTTATCTCAGGACGGATCGATGTGAGGGTTTTGCCGTGCAGTTTCGCCCAGCTTGGCCTGAAGTGAGCAGGTTGTTCCTCGCAGCGATGGAGAAGCTGCCCAGCTCCAAGCGGCAGCTCTATCGGGGGGTGCCTTGGATTCCTTGGATTGGAGCCTGGAATCAGACATGAAGTTCTTCGCTTTTCTCGTATTTCGACGAGAGGTGGCCTTGGATCTTCAAGACCAGTACAAGCTTGGTACCACCGTCACCTGGTGGGCAGTGTGGCATCCTTAGACCATTCTCTGGACCTGTAAGAGATTGTGAGAGTATGTCTTTCGGGGGACACTGTGGAACAATGTCAGAGCTCCTTTCCTATTTGAGGTCCAGCTGTACTCCCGACCTCGAGGTGGCAAGCAATTTCTGCCAGAAACTGAGTCCTTCACGCAAGCTCCCTAAGCCTTGCTCTAAGCACCTTTGTCTTAAGGCTCTGGCGGCAAGAAGTCGACGTTGTTCTTGATCACAGCATCACGGAGCGTCGGCATCAGGGACTTCTCTGAGTACAAAAGCGAAGAAGAGCCACTGTGCCTGTCAACCGCTACAATCGAACTCTCAGGTCGGCCGTAGCAGAATCGACCACATTGAGCCGAGGTACATTCTTGCCCCTGGCACCCAGTTCAAGGTGTCTGGGCCTGCTTGTAGTACGTAGAGTATGTGTAACATGGATTAACATGGTACAGTTTTTCAAAGCTTTGACGGCTAGCGTTTGAGAAGTATCTGAGGTCACCAACGTGGAGCGCAAGGGCTCGGCGGTTAAAATTCACATGACAGAAATGGAAACCCCAAGGAGATTTTGCTTTGTCTTACAGCATCGCTCGGGAGCTCTGCAAGTCGCATCCATCTGCCAGGAGAGTTCAGTGAGTGCGTGCAACACGCGCCAGAGATGCTGCCTTGCAACTCAGCGGCTTCACGCTTGAAGTCTCGGCCCATTTCTGCTTGTGAAAAAAAGCAATCCACAGCTTGGCTGGCAATCTCAAAGCTGTACCTACATTCGCAATTTCTTATGTTCCGTATAAAGCTGAGATTACAAACGACAAAAAGAAAGACAAAAAGCTCGGGGTTCGTGCCTGCTTGCGGGGCTCGGCTGCAACCAGCGCAGCCCCGTCTTGATCGGCAGCGCAGCCTTGCGGCTGGCATCACGGCACAGGGATGGCCATCGTGCTTCCTGACCTGAAATCCGTCTCCTCGCGCGATTCCTGCAATGCCTGCCACCTACGACCACCCCAGCGGAGGTGCCCTCCATGGTTCACGGCCAGTTTTAGCGACTGAGGTCTTAGGCTTCTGGGTTGAGATCTTACGCTTGAGGGCTTGTGGTTCAAGGTTCAGGGTTCAGGTGTGTTTGCTTAGGTGGTTGGGGGCATCGATGTTTGCGAAGCGATGGGGTCTGTAGGGCGGATTTTGAGCTCCACAAAAGGACCGGGGTTACTACCCCATACCTTTGAGATCCACTTCGGGGTGTGATCTCTCAGGCTTTCGGATTCCAAACTTAGCGGTTTAATGCTCGCCTGTCGCTTGCCATGGAAGCTGTGGAACCAATATTTGGATGCTATCGCCATGGTCAGGAAAATGGGGCGTCCAGACTTCTTCATCACATTCACCGTCAACCCTACTTGGGATGAGATCCGCGAGAACTTAGGGGCTAACCAACGGGCAGCAGATCGGCCCGATTTGGCAGCGCGTGTGTTCAACATTCGAATGTAGTCCCAACGCAAGGCGAGCGTTGCCATCTTTCTTACTTCTACACGCGCAGCCAGGAGCCCGCGGTTTCGTAACATTACGGACCATTGACGACGAGCTCTTTCGTGCCTTTCAAGCCCCAGCGACCGCGCGGTCTATGCGATTCCGACCAGCACTGCCATGCTGCGCTGTGCGACGTGCTCGCCGTGGCCACGTCCGCTCGAGCCCGGCGCTTCCTAGTAATGACTCTCAGTTGTTGCGAGGTTGCCCACCCCTTCCGGTTGTGGGACACTTTGGCGTCCGAACTTCGGGAAGACTTCCGTGTCCGGTATACCGGATTTTGTAGCCGAGCTGCTCGCTTTGCAGCATTTGCAAAAGAGCGCTTGGCAAGAAATGAGAAGACTATCGCCATTACGGGCTACCGTTACTTTCGAGCCCTCGAATTGCTCGCGCGGAACCAACTACGACCCCAGGCACGAGGAAAGCGAAGCTGTTCGCATGGCGGCTTTGATGCGAGTCTCTCCCGAACAATTAGACGCGTATCAAGAATTGGTGCGTGTGTTCGACAACAGCGAGGCTATTGCGGCTATCGTGTTCTGCGTGGGTGGTCCGGGTGGCTCCGGCCAATCGTTCCTGTCTGAAGCTTTTTCATTACTAGTACGTCCGACGTGGTGGTGAGATTGCCGCGGCGTGCGCTTGGTCCGGCTTTGTCGTCACTTTAACTGGCGGCAGCCCTTAAATCGGGCAGCGCCATTGGCCTTTGCGGCCTGGCGCGGACC